CTTTCTCAATTTAAGCTCAAAATACAATTCAATTTATCAACCCGGTGAAATCCATAAGAATTGTATTTATTTTTTTTGTAAGGTACCGTTATTTAAAATATGACGAAATGAAAATACAAACCGCCTGTTCCACCGAGAGAAGAAATGCTATTAATGATTAACATGCCAAGTTTAGCAAAGGATCACTAAATGAGTAATTACTTGAAATCTGACATTCAAGGACTGTTAGCGTAGAAGTAACTTTGAAGAAGAAGAAAACTACGAAATCTTGGCGGAAGTTTGGAAGTATTCTGCTTTTATTTGGACGCGCATTATTTTACCTAAAGTGAGACTACTTTTCCATTTGGTGACCTGACAACGACTGAAATGCCATTACTCATTTTTACTCAGTGAGCACCGGTTATCAGTTTGTGAGGTCAGAGTTGGAAAGGCTTTTCTTTAAGATGATGTTGATATTGAAAGTTTGCGAATATAACACCATGTTGTAGGGTTCCTGAACAAAACGCTGTACCGAAATCATTCCAGCGGCATTTATTTCCTTCTTGTATTATACCATGTAATACTATCGCATATTTTTGGAACACCCTTCCATCTATATGTATATAAGAAATTAACGTGACTGATGCCTTATTTTGAAAGGTCTTTTTAATAGTATACTCACTTAGGTCCAAATGAAAAATTCGCTCTAGCACACTGAGTAGCGTAATGTATCTTGAGCAAGAGACTATTTTAGAGTCCTTTGCTGAATTTCAAAACCAAATTTTGTTTTCCTAGTTCTCTTAAAGAAGCATGGCTATAACAAGGAAGCAATGTTCTAGCTAATTTATTCATATTTTGACAATTTTTATAAAATTTCAAAAATAAACATATAAAGTATTTTCTATACTCAGCTGTAAATATAAATAACAATAGATCCTCATTTTCTCTGCGTTTAAAATTTTTATGCCAATATTAAGTCTCAATATTTGTATTAAGAAGAGAAGGGGGGGGAATCTGAATTTAATTTTTGTTACAATTTGACAAATTAGAAAATGAGAAAACCGCATAAAGGGAAAATTTATTTTCAGAAGACGAGTTTCTTTATTGATTATAAGGTTCTCAGATTCTGCATGAACTAATTGCTTAATCACCATATGAAAATTCAGTCAAATTTAACAGAAACAAATTAAGTGGAGAAATCACATTGAGCATTAAAAACGTAACTATCTCTTCCTCAAGCTTAATTTCACTTCCTTGTACGAAGTAAAGGAAGTATTGTACTGTAACAAAAATATCCCTTTTGACCGCTATCGAATGCAATTTAACGATGTTTTTGTGCGATATCTGTACGTAAGGACAGAATAAAGGACTCTTTCCCCAACGGTTGCAAAGGATTTAAAAGGATCAGAAGCGATTTATTCAAACGTGTTGAAGTATGTATGATGCATCTCGCGTAATTCAAAAACGATAGCCCAGAACGTTGACATGTGTATATAGGGCTGCTATAACAATAGTTGCGACTCCCTTTGGTGGCATCGGCCACATAAAAATCTGTATGAAATACTTTTGATTATATATATGTAATATATATGTAATGCACACACTCTGTTACTCGGCTCCGTGAACTCAGTTTTTTATTCTTATATGTTGGTAAATTATGCTTTTTTTGCTTTCAAAATGATTGAATTATGTTGTAGTTACCTTCTAGTTAAGGTTTTTATGCATTTATTTAATCTGTTTGCAATAGTTGCAATTTTTGCCAGCTGATCGAATTGCTTGTTTTTGCATAGAAGCTCTAATTTTATTTGTAAAAATAGTTTTTTTCTAATTGTTTTAACTGTATTTGGTGCTTTATATTTTTCTATATTTTTCCATTTTTAATAAAGATATTTTGAGATTTTATGTATTTTTGCCTTGCCGCGAAGTGAGTACTGAATTAATTGAATGAGAAATATATCTATAATGAAATATGTTTAAATGAAATGCAGGAAAAAATGAGTGTAATTTATTATTCCGTACAAGGAAGTCGTATGGTGTACAAATCAGATTTTTTAAATTCACCTGAACCCTAAAGAAGGTAAATCTCTGTTTAAAGATAACTCAACAACTTGCCTGGCTACCAACTGCTTCATCTACGGATTGACCAGCTCACTGAATCCACGGACATCGTTATTGTTTTGTAAGTAGTTGGGTTACATTTAAACTAAACTCGGCGACACAAACAGACCATAGACAGGCATGGCCGGCAGGGATATCTGGTTTCTAGGCCATGGGCTTCAAGTAGCTTGTGCATCTTAGCCTGGACAAGTGGTCAGCTTGTCGCAGACCCTCGGTGCTTAGTCCCCAAGCGAACTTGGTACTCACTTTTTATCGACCCACTTCAGGGATGAAAAGCTGAGTCAACCTTGCCCAGCCCGAGGATCGAAGCCCGGACCCGTGGTGCTGCTGCGTGACGCGCTGCCGCTGCGCCACCGGGGCCTCTGGATTACATTTAGTACTTTAAATTCTAAAAAGAGTAGGACAATTAATTTAAAAATTTTTATTTATAACACATTTTATAAAAAAATGTTAACATGATTTCCATTTTTAAACAGGATGAAGTACTACTATCATTGGAATAATTTTTTTAAAACTATTATACACAAAAGAGGTCTTAATTTTCATTATTTGCAAAAAACATACAATCTGTTTACCATATTTGGACACAACTAAATTAGAGTAAACATTACATAAATTAGAGTAAACATTAAACAGGCTAAGATTCATAGTAATATAAAGTTATTTATAAATGACTAAAATTATTCGTAGGAAATAAATGAAATTATAAATATGACTAAAAGGGATCTCATCAAATGAGATATTTTATAATATCTTTTCAAATGCTGTCATTTAGAACTCTTTCACGGTAGTGCATATATTGTACTAAAACATTCAAACAGTAAACAGTCTAATGAGTAATTATCATACATGTTTAATCACTAAGCTCAAGTATTCCATGAGGAAAATTTAGGTAATCTTAATTACAACATTTAATAGGTAATATTACATAGACAATTAGCTGATTTCTGAAACCTCTCTTGTCAGCAATTCATCATTGGATCAACCAAGGAATCGTTTAGAATTTATAAAACAAATTACTTCCTGTGCACTTTCTTTGAAATAAGAAAAATAATTAAAACCTTACCGACAGAAAATATGACAATAGTATAAAATGCGTTCATCAAGTTATAATTTTATGAAACAATTTTCAAGCATTTGAGATGCTAAATAAAAAAAGATATAATAAACGAACTAAACATATCGTCGGTATCGCAAGCCAAAACTATTAATTTGTGCATATTCTCATGTACATCAGTCTTTTTATTTTTAAGATTTTTTTAATGTTTTAATATCACTTCAAAATATATAAAAAAGCATTATTATGCAGAAGTCTTAATTCGATATGATTTAGCATTACTTTAACATTTGATAATGATTTTCAAACGCACCATTGTTGTAGATTTTACATTATATGCAAGATCTTTCTATGAAAGGAATCAAATTTAACTAATATATATATCTATATATATATATATATCTTTAAATTTGTTACATTATCTACTCAGTAGATTCGAATTTACTAACGTTTTGCTATTATTAATTTTTATTCCTGTTTAAAAAAAGTATCTACTTAAGATGTTTCTAATTTATCACTAATTTCAAATGAACTGGTGACTGAAAATCTTTGGCGGATAAGTACAATATGCATACTGAGAGTCCAAACTATGACTGTCAATATATTGAAAAGTCTACCACAGGATATAACCTTCGCACTAAATATCTGATGAAGTGTGCAGATAAAACCATTCAGTTAACATAATGCTTACCAGAGGTTAAAATACTGGTTATTTGCGTAAAATAAGTTTTGCAACACCTCTTAGCATTTATGAAAGTTTTTTTCATCTTCCTTCAACATGCTGAAATACAAATTTTCTCGTGAATAACATTTCTTTGTTCATTCGCGTCAAGAAAGATTGGTAATTTAAGAATGTATAACTGTAATGCATTTTCATCTTAAATTTCGAGTATTCCAAGACGCACATTCAGAGTGATCATTCCTAAAGACTATTTCCTGCGACTTTTTGAATCCAGTTTACGAATACAGACACTCTAGAGTAGATACCGGGAAGCTGTTTTCGGGCACATCCGACACCAGCCGATACGATACCAATGATGCTGAATGTCTTCCCATCTTTCATAATCAAAGGTCCTCCGCTGTCTCCCTAAAAAGGAAGAAAAAAATTCAATTGAAAGAAAGCTTACACCGCATATTTACTGATATTAAATTTTTCATTAGTTTAATCTACCCATTTTCCCAAATAATAATTTTTTAAACAAATAGCAGAAACGACACAAATACCAATAAAATACAGAAAAAAAAAAACTGTATTTTAAGTTTTTGATATTCGTGTAATTCCCTTCTTTGAATTTTCATTGAATTTGAAAGGAGGTTGTTTCTTAACTATAATATTTGAATGGTTACTAAAGCTCTTAAATCAAGACTTGTGTAGAGCAAATGTTTGTTAGACGCCAATATATAAAAGCAAGCGTACTGTCACATAAGTGGTCGACAAATAGATAAAAAGTAAAAAGGGTCTATATTCAGCTATACTTAACTTAGAAATAACATATTAGAAAATTTTACAAATAACAGCAATAAGCATACTTATAAGTTCTGACAGGCCAGAGTTTAAGATTTTTCAGAACTCGCAATCATAGTTTACAGTGATTCAATTGTTTTCAATATTGAGGATATTATGGTGAAATTTTAAAGAAATTTGCAAATTATGTCAATTTCCATTTCTTCATCAATTCAGTTGTTACAAATGTGCTACAAATAATAAGTGATATATTTGTTATGTATAGCATGTGACATATTGCACAAAGTTGTATTTTTATGCTCCTAAATGCCTAAATAGGACTGGTGTAATTGAATATGAAAAACAACAGGGTCCTGCAGATAATTAATATATTATCGACAAAAATAATGTTATCTTGAAGAGTTAATGATTACAGGAAAAACTAAAAAATCCTTTTCGATCAAAACATTTCCAGCGAAATGAGCCCCAGTAAAATTACCAGTGTTTAGCTGTCTTACTCACTCAGCTGTTGGTGAACCAAGTTAAACTTTGCATACTGGAAACCTTTGAACAAGATATGTGGAGCTTGTGAAGTAATTAGTATTCAGATGACATAGTACTTAGATGACGAAATACTTTCAAATTTAACGTCCTGATAAACCCTTCTGTTCCTATCTCACAACAGGATTAAATTCCTTTTCTGGAAGATGGGTTTATTTAATACAACTTTTAATTTTTATTATTTATCAACATTTTATTTTTAATATTCATTATAAAAATACAAAACTTTAGTAGTTCTAAATTTTATATTGAGAATGGATAGACAGTGATTCTGACTATAGAATCTGTTAGTTTTAAACTGAGAAAACAAGGTATTTTTATAACCAGGAGTTTGGTCTTACCGTCTGAATAATAACTTATTTCAGCGGATGGACGTTTTGCCTTACTCCTAATAATGAATTTAGTTATGGATCGAATGCATCTTAGTTAAAAAATATTGCTCAGTTTTAAAGATATCATAGTAATCAGTTTCAAAATATAGCCTTAAGGAAAACGTGTTTAAAATCAGTTCCTTTGACCCTAGTGCTGGTAAAGAAGAGAGTGCGAGGTCCTGGGTAAAGAAGAGAGATTCCATTCCATGAGCATCTTTCTTTTAAAATTAGGTTGGAGTTCAGTTTTAAAAAGGAAATTACAGTAGAACCCCGATTATCCGAGATATTGAACCGGGGCTAATTCGGATAGCACAGACTGAAACAAAGAAAACTTTAATAATCTAATTTTATCCTACATAATGTAGGGAATTTACTAACATACAGGATTCATGCAGGCTGATGGCGATATTAGACATATGTACGTTCAAAGGTACAGATATACCTATAATAGTACTAAATATGATACGTACTATAACCTTGAAAATATGTACCTGTATTACAAATAAGGTGCTGTACAATATACATATCATATCATATCAAATATTTTTTTTAAAAGTTGCAACAGCCTTCTATTTGATTGTGCTGTCTTGTGTCCTAAACCGCCGTACTGTTTAGACGTCGCAACATCAACATGTCGGCTGGTGACCTCTGGTCTTGCTGTTCACCATGAATAAAGCCGTCTGTGTATCTGATCTTGGTTTGAACTCATCAAACATTTCAAATTGTTCATCATCTTGCATCAAATTATTCACATCTTCTCTCGTTACAGCCTCTATAACTTGTAGCTGGTTTTAAGATAGCTACTATTTCTTCATCACCTGTTTCCTGAATTTCTGTCGTTCTTCTGTCATCGTCATTCGGCGAAATATAGTTTCAGAATAGTAAATTTCTTCACGTCGTTCAACGATTCTTTAGCCGGTAAATGACAGCTTTTCAACAACTATTTTGTTATGTTCTAAATCTTCTAATAAATGTTTTAAGTGTCTTTGAGAGTTTTAAGAGAGAGAATGTAATTCAGTTTTAGGGTTCAGTTTGAACGATTGCTAAAATCAAAGTTTATAGATTGTTTACTTTTGGAGTATGTTGTTTTAACAGCTTTTTATTTCTTTGTACGAAGTAAAGGAAGTACTGTAATCTCGAAAAATTTCGGGTATCCTATTTCAACGACACTAGAAGCCATTTAAAAGACGTTTTTGCGTGACATCTGTACTTACGAACAGAACAAAGGACTATTTTTTTCAAAACAGATTTTTTTTCATGACGTCTGTACGTACATATCTATCTCAGAAACGAGCAGCCGTCGAACGTTAAAATTTTGTATATGGGACTGCTGAACGCTGCTCAAGTGGACTGCCGCCCTTAACTATAGTAAGCCTTACGGTATTTGTTTCCACTTGGCAGATGCTGTAATCATGAATCGCTGATCCGACAGCATTTATTATTCAAATCTAGGTTTCATAATCGCTCATTTTTTACATAGGATCTTAGTATCTATAACGCCTGGTGTTAACTCAAGTTCTATTTTAACTACTACTACGCTGCTTATACTACACTACTTTGACATGCAATGTGCATAATAATTACATACACAATACTACTTCAAGGTTTTACACTAACCACACTACATTTTACAACTGAGTACTTACATTGTATATCATATATCATATATTAATGCAAGACATAGAATATCCTATATAAATGCAAGACATAGAAACCTTTATAATATAATACGATAATATTAGATCATTTTTCTAATCGCACAATTCGAGTAAATACAATGCCTACGAACTTTACACTCTAGTATATAAGCTACAAAAGTAAAACTCGCTAGAATTGCATTTTACATTGGGTACATTACATTGTGATTCTATTATATATTGACAAAATTTTACAATATAAAGCATTAAGTCGCATAACCTCATACTACTACTTATCAGATATACTAAAATTACTGTAATACAGTAGCTCTATATCTTGATTACATCCACACTGTACTGTTAGCTATATATCGCAAAATTAAGAATAATAACAATTTAATCAAACCATACACTGTTATTCATTATGATGCAGGTAAAGATAATACTATAAATGAAAAATGCTAAGGTTTACAACAATACCTTTTCAAAACCATTCCTAGTTAGCAAATGGTGGACTACCACAACTTGATTTAAACATTGAATTTCAACATAAAGCATATCCAATTTATAATCTGTACTCTAACTAAAAAAAAAAAAAAAAAAAAAAAATTTTTTTTTTTTTTTTTTTAGGGTAACAATATGATTCTTTCAGTTATGAGACTTATTAATTGTAGGGTAATCTAAAAGTCATAAAGTGTACAAAGAAAAATTAAGAATCTATACACCAATGTGGTTAAGTCACACAAACATTGAACAGTTCAAGGTTCTATATTGAATTAACATTCTATATTGAATTAACATTGAACAGTTCAAGGTTCCTTATATATATGGGACTGCTATAACATGTAGTTGTGCACCTCATTTTTTCGTTGCAATCGGTCATGTCAAACAGTATATTAATATATATATAGAGAGAGAGAGCGAGCGAGATATTGCCACGCTATTACCCTGTTCGGTGAGCTCAGTTTTTTTGTTTTAATTTTATGTTGGTAAATTGTGTATTTTTTGCTTTAAAAATGATTGAATTGTGTTGTTCTTATATTACAGCAAAAGTTTGGTTTTTATGCCTTTAGTTAATCTGCATACAATAGTTAATTATCAAGAATTAAAAAGTTTAAGGGGCTAAGCCTAACAAGGCAGCTATTTGTTTGCATTTGAAATTCTTAGTAGAATACTGAATTAAGGTGGTTGGTGCACCAGTTGGGTTTTCGCCCACTGCTTGTTTTTGCGTAGAAACTCTAATTTTAATAGTAAAATTTTTTAAAACCGTTTCTAACAGTATCGAGTATTTTAGGTTTTTCTGTATTTTACAATATTTAATGAAGATTGAGGTTTTGTTCATTTTTGCCCCGGCCTTTAAGTGAGAACTGAATTGCTTGAGGGAGAAATATACGTGTGATAAAATTTGAGCAAATAAGTTTAAATGAAATGCAGCAAAAAAATGCGTATAATTGAATAGGCAGTACAAGTTAGTCATATGTGGTGCCCACATCAGATTTTTTTTTTTTTTTTTTTTTAGAGTTAGTATAGCGTAGTAATAAAAACATGGTTTTATAGCATTCATTAGAGTGATTTCAGCTCTTTTTAGTACAATATTCTTTCTAATATTGAATCGTTAATATCCATAGTAAGATAACCTTACTTTACCATTTGCAAAACATTAAATTTGTACAAATAAAAGATATAATAATTTTCATTAAAGGAAAAAATAATTCTCACTTGACAAGCATCTCTGCCTCCTTCTTTGTATCCTGCACAGATCTGATAATCATGTATTTGAACATATCCATCATATTCATCCGAATACCATTTCGCACAGATGGAGTTATTCAAGATGGGGACTTCAACTTTTTGCAGCCGTTTAGCCTTAACTGTAAAATTAAAAACAATCATTGAAACTCGTGTAAGAAACATTCTGTTGTTTACAATATAAGAAATTATTTTTAAAGAATCACAAAAGAACCATATTTTTAACTGAAATGTATAAGTTAGTTACGTATAGTAAAATTATTTCAATTTGTCTAAGAGTAATTAATGCAAAAACTGCAGCAGTTTCTAAATTGAAGTTTCTGTAAATACATTTCTTTCATTCATTTATTAACATTACTTACGTTTGTCTTTCCTACTTTCGTTTTCATAAGTCTTACTATATTATTAATAAAGTTAGTCACTCTTATTGCAAGAATTGGCTAAATTCAGACGATTAGTTAATGATTTCTTCAACAATCTTCATATCCGTTTGCATACTTTGTTTATTTAAATAGCTATTTCATAGAGAAATTAACATTAGAGAACTTGTCTTAATTTTGAAATTTATTAATTTACTTTCTAATTACAATCTCGCACGTCTAGTAATTTTCCTTTAACTTAAAAAATTCACACATTTTAAAGATTTATTTACACAGAATAATTACTAAGGAAGGAAAATAAAGTTAACTTTAGAAATTCATTTATATAAATTTTCAATTTGTTTTTATGTATTAAATTTAAACACTTTTAGTCCTTTTTTTTAAATATTGAAATTGACAGGAAAAAATGATAACATGTATTAATAATATTTATATTTATTTTCTAGATTTCTATTCGTTTTCAGGCAAAACATATTTTCTTTTAAAAAATTGCTGATTATACAGACCAAGTATAATATACCTTTGTCTCACCTTTGTCAATTTCATTTAGCCAGCCCCATCCAACTACGGTTGCATTTCGCCCCTCTAGCCTTTGATCTGGAGGTGGCAAACAAATGGGTTGTGCGTATATGTCAAAAGTGAGCGGAGTCCTCATCTTCAGAAGAGCCAGGTCATTGCTATATCGGCGAGGATTTCCAAATTCTGGATGAACTGATACTTCATCTACGTAAATATCCTTACCACGAATACTGGCATCTATGCTAACGTCAATATCACCTGTACGGATCCGAAAATATCGAGCACTGTACCTAAAAAAATAAAGACACGACAATTGTCAAGTTCATGCGAATTAACTCAGGACTTACTCCGAATGTATGCAAAACTGTTTGTCTATCACAAGAACACTTCCCGACAGAATGTCTACAATTGTCTGCAGTTATAAAAATGAGTCTCTCTTAGCATCTGTTGAAGGAATGCAATTAAATTTGCTATATTGTTGCATTTAATAGTGAATTGAGGATACTTTTTTTTTTCCTTTATGTAAAATATTCGTTATAATATTCTTTGCAGGTGAACACTCGGCAAAAACGCAGTAGTTATATAACTTTTCCTACTTCGAATGTTACTGGAGACCATTTCCAGTTAGACATATTGGCTGGAATAATTCTTGTGATAGACCGACAGTATCTAAGGAAAAGCGACACACTTTATTCACAAAAGTCAATTTAATTTAATCAAAATTTAATTTAATCCAGTTAGACATATTGGCTGGAATAATTCTTGTGATAGACCGACAGTATCTAAGGAAAGCGACCACTTTATTCACAAAAGTCATTTAATCAAAATCAAATTTAATCCATTAATAGTGGCTGGAATAATTCTTGTGATAGACCGACAGTATCTAAGGAAAAGCGACACACTTTATTCACAAAAGTCAATTTAATTTAATCAAAATTTCATTTAATCCAGTTAGACATATTGGCTGGAATAATTCTTGTGATAGACCGACAGTATCTAAGGAAAAGCGACACACTTTATTCACAAAAGTCAATTTAATTTAATCAAAATTTAATTTAATCCAGTTAGACATTGGCTGGAATAATTCTTGTGATAGACCGACAGTATCTAAGGAAAACGACACACTTTATTTAAAGTCATTTAATTTAATCAAAATTTAATTTTTAATCCATAGACATATTGGCGGAATAATTCTTGTGATAGACCGACAGTATCTAAGGAAAAGCGACAAACTTTATTCACAAAAGTCAATTTAATTTAATCAAAATAACAGGTTGATAAGGAGTGGGGAAATTACTCATGAGCGCAATGTCATGATCTTAGGCACCTGTATGTAAAGATTGGCCAAAGCCAACTAATTCAAGAATCTGCGACTGTCCCTGCGTTATTTCACTTTCTCTTTACACACTAGCGTCTGCATCCCAAAACAGCAGCCTATGCGAGAGGCGATTCTATTATTTTCATCGGGGATAGGTAATTGGTTTTCTGAGGAACGCCGACATAGTGCACGATGTTGGCTTACATTAGGAAGTTCAGAAAATTACAAGATGGTTGCCTTTTTTCTGCGGTTACATTCATAGAAATATTAGGCAGTTTTTTTTTTTTTTTTTTTTTTTTGTTTTTTTTTTTGGTTGTTGAAGGGCAAATAGATAATTTACCTTTTAATCCGCGTTTATTATCTATTTAAACTTCAGCAGATTTAAGATGAAGTGAATATATTTAACACAACAGAACGCAAGCTTAAGACTTGAAATCTTTTAAAAAACAATACATCGATAATTAAAAATATTATTTATAGTTCATTATTAAAAACTTTATTAAATGCATAGTTTATCATATAATTAACAATTCATTCATGCCTTATCTCATTATTTATTATAATTAGAAGTGAAGATTTTTTTAACAGTAATGTTTAAAAATTTGCTGTTTTCTTTTAAAAGATTTACAAGTCTTAGATGGGTTCTTTTGTGTTAAAATATTCGCTTCATCTTAAATTTCTGAAGTTTAAATAAACAATCGGATTATAAAGGTAATGTCTATTTGCCTCTATCAGCAAACCGAAAAAACTGCCAAATATTTACCTGTAAGTACCTAGAAACTAGGCAATCCCCTTAGCATTTTTTTAACTTCCAAATCAAACATATAGTCCACTGCCTTTCATTCCTCAAAAGTATTCTACTCCCCTACTCCCCGATGAATAATAGAATCGCCTCTCTCATAGGCTGCCGTTTTGGGATGTAGACGCTAGTCTCTTTACACTGTTATATTGTGTCACCATCTTTTAGCGCAGATGGGAAGTTCGGCAGTGCGTGATCCCAATTTCTTTGAAAGCGTTAAATGACTTTGGCGGGGTTTCTTAGAAATCAAATATCTCACCGCCAAAGAAATGTGGGTTGATCTTTACATTATCGTAACTTGGCGATTTTTGGCGACCAACTCTCCTACAGCAACTTTCTATTTTTTTTTTCCCCCCCACGCCATTTTGTCTTCACTAGTAAAGACTGTTTCTTTTCTTTTTATCTACTGAACACTTCTTCCAACAATCTCCCTAAGCCGAATTTCCCTTATTAGAAATTTTTCTACAAAACTTGCTTAATCATACAATATTCCTCAAAATTGGGAAAAGGCCATCCCATACTCCTTACGACGCGTTTTTCAAAACACATCACATAAACCATTCACGTCGACTTATTTTTTACTTAAAAACATCCCAGACGTCACAAAATGGCATTGGCGCACACCTTCACTATATCCATGTACACTGCCTTTTTCTCATAAATTAGAAAAAATTCACGAAAATCACATGACATTTTCTGAATCTTTAAACCCGGTAAAAAGAACATATATGAAATTACCTGATCGCGAAAAAGTATATACCCTTTCCAATATGAACATTTCCACATTAAATAAATAAAAATATCCAAAAACTTTTACCTCTAAATCATCTATTTATTATAAGTCACCAACGAATTCAACCGCAAAGCATACAATAGTTGAGTGTCAAATATTTAAATTATTTCCATGCACGTTTACTTCAACTAAAAACGTACCAAATTCCTACAAACATAAAATTCACAAAATACTAGCATTTAATTAAATATAATTAAATTCAAAACACTACTTAAAATAAATAAGCACATACATTAAATTAATAAAATTAGCTTACAATCCTAATTACTTTAAATCATTGTTAATAACATTTCCCAAAATACAAATTACTTACTTCCACCTTACATTTAGAACAATGATAAAATATCCTCAAATAATTAAAAATACTAACTTACCTAATCTTCTCAGAATCCTGATTACGTTCCGAAACTTTTCTTATTTCTGTTTCAGGATCTTTAAAATCATACTTAGTTCACACAAGGTACCCAAGTAAAATAAATAACTTAATAAAACATCTTTACTTCTATCTCGCACAACCTTAAAGAAACTTACTATACATACCCCCTTTCAATCCCATAAATACCCATTTTTCGAATTCACTTTAGTTAGGGTCATGGGATCCAAAATTAACGAACACTGTTTCACACAACACAGAATAAAGCCAAATACAAATTTTCCAGATTTTTTTCCCGATTTCCCCCCTTTTCCGATTAAAGAACCGTATTCGTCCCATTAATATCACATGACATATCCCATGATCTCTCATTTCCCTCACACAAAATAATGCGTAATCGGAACTGAGTACTGCTCACATTATTATTAAAGTCCCAGGTAGTAACCTTTATCGCCTCCAAAATGTCGCCAAACTACCAGTTACCATATTCTAAAGATCAGCCGAAATGTGCACACAAGCAATACTCACTGCATGAGTTCGTAACGTTACATTCATAGTTAGTCGTAGTAAAGTTGCTGCGCGTAGTGACCTCTAGTGAAAAACCTCTTTCTCTCCTCCAATATCTCCTTATAGTGATTACGTCAAAAAAAGGGGCAGGAAAATGAACATGTCTGTCTGATATTGTCTTACACAGACGCTTTGATTCTGACTATTCAGGAGCCACAGACATTAGCAAAAACCTACAGCCTACTTGAATGACACCCACATTATTCCCACCAAGCAAAAATACAGATTTCACTAAATCTAGAGGGAAGGAGTGAGTGACGGAGATTGTGAGTATCATCCTTTTGCATTAATTCGTATAGCGCTGCGTGCATCTTTATTAAAAATATATGCATAATCGAATATACTTGTATACATATGGTGTAAGCCGCCGAAACGGTACAGTGGTTAGAAAAGCCTGACTGCGATACCGAAAGGCCTGGGTTCGAATCCCGAAGAAGGCATGGTTGTAACTGTTCGTCCCTTCATAGGAGGCGATGGTAGCCCACCTATTAGGTGCTTTTATAATAAAGAGACCACCACGTCTGGCCTTGTATAGATTAATGGACTGGGTTACACTGTAACTGTTCACAATCTGCTATTGGAAAAAAAAAAAAAAAATATGGTGTTGTAATATACATATTTTTGGGTGATATATAGTATAAGTCATATATATCACCCAAATACCTATAGTGTTTGAACGCTCAATCATAGTCTCTTGATAGAGTCATATATAGACATTATACTGTGTTATGTTCACGTATTTGTACATTTCTAGTGCAATCATAGTCATAAGCTTTAAGTAAAATAATATACATGTTCATAATCATATCGATAAGTCGAAGTCATATTTACAGTTATATTCCTAAATTAACAAAGTTCATAAGTTCCTGTATTAATAAATTGTTTAAAATTTCTTTACTGCTGAGGAAATGTACTTTATGTCATTATACATATGTAGTGAGGCACAAGTCTGTTCCATGTGCGGATAGTTTTCCCATGATTTAGGTTATCTTCTAATTAAATGTCATAATTTGCTTAAGTAATTAGAGTGTACCTGTCTATTTGTTTTTAAAATTTTTATATGTATACTATTGTTTAACGATCATCTGGATTTCCTGTTTCTCCACAGGTGCAGAGTTAATACGTCCGATTCCAATTTGTGCGAAATTAACGAAGAGATAAATGACCATGCCCCGACATGTATTTTACTAATTACGTATTAGTAATATTTCTGTGTGATATGCAATGTACGATGCGATATGCATACTAAATATGCAGTGTGTTGGAGGAGCACACTTGAAGAGCACGGAAAACATAGGAATAAAATGAAGCGAATTTTTGTTTAGTCGGATGACATGATTTAAAGTGTGGTGGATGGCAAATGGATGATGGTTTACGGTAAACTGTAGTACTGAAGTTGGATGTGTTACGTGTGACGAGAATGTCGAGAAACGGAAGAGA